TTTTGTTTCAAACCTAATCCCCAAAAGGACTGATGACATTTCTGAGACTTGCAACTGGCAGATCGAAAAACAGAACGTGGTTCGTTTCGGTGTCATTTTCTCGAAAGATTATCGCCAAGTGGACAAGAACAGTGTTGTGGCATCATGACACGTTGAACTTGCGACTTAGAAAAAAACAAACGAAAAAAGAAGCTCACAGAGGACTTTCGAGAGAGACGATGATTTTCCTCTGTCAATTCTTTCCGAATTTCACAAGTTCTGTTCCTCTGTGTGGGGTTTGTTCTTTTTAAGCCTGGAGCAACACAGAGGCTGCTATGTTGTCAACCTGTATAGTGCAATGCCTTTATTATTTAATTCATATTATCTAGTATGGCAGAGCTGTAAACTGGAATATCCCATGACCAGTGTTTTTTCCTTTATATCAGTGAAGGATTCTGTCATGCAACTGGAATGATTGTAAACCATTAAAAGTCAGTGAGTATAACACATAAATGCACAATCGTTTTTTTTTAAAATTTCTGTTCTGTCTTTGTTAGCGTAGCTTTGGAGCTGATCACACGCCTTGTACGAAGCCTGTAATTTCTACTTGCGTGCAGTATGTGACCTGTATTGTGCTGTTGAATTGCGTCCTGGTAACGTGTTTCATAAATAAATGATGATTATGAAAATGCTCGAATATTCAATCCACCATCCTGCTTACAGCACTTTCCTGTTGTCTCAAATTACACCGGTGTTATTAGGCCTCCTCCGCCTGACTCCATGTCTATAACTATAACATCAGCGGATGAACGAGTGCAGGTTAGAAGTCGCAGAGGACTTGATGAAGACATATTGTTAATGGCAGCAAGGGATGACACAGTGATTACGTTCAGTGAGCAGCAGCGCGCACTTGCAAACATGAATAATGATATTTGGACCCTTTCCTATTTCCCCTTCTGAGCGAATACGACTTGCGTGGTCTGATTTGGAGAAAACACAGGTTGACGTTTGTGAAAAAGACGCTCACTGTGTCCAAATGCACTCCACCCGTTTACCCTCCCAACCTCCAGCGCATTTTTAATCAAAGTTGATGCCAAATCTGTATTACCTGTCACTTTGGCACAAGTTCAACTGGCAGACTCATCAGCAAAGAGTCTGAAAGGCGAATCAAGGGATGAGCCTCAGCTCTCATACATGTCCTCGGTTACCACAGATTGTTTTCTGTCCTATATTCCACAAGAACAAATTTCTTATTGTTTGATGAACAAATAAAAGCCGCACCCTCTAAGAATCGAATCAAAGCCTTTCTTTATTTGTCACCATCCAGTGATTTAAGGAGTTTGGTTTGATCGTTCTTTCCAAGATCTATACATACTTTACAGTACATGAGTGAATTAAAAAAGAAAAGACCAAACTTGCGTGAATGTAATTGTGATGCAGACAATGATTCGTCATGCAGCCACGCGCTTTGGTTAAATCTTGTGAACACTGTTTGAGTATTTGTAAAAATAAAAAAAAGCACAGGTGAGTTTTGCACTGAGCAAAAGGACGCACTTATTTCTGCCGTCTATACGAACCTATTATCGCTAGGTTCCTATAGGCGGACCTGTCATATACACAACAATATAGAGAATATATCACATGCTATGCGTAAATATCAGTGCACAGCAAATATCAGTCGAGTGCGCGTAAATCTCCTCACAAACATGTTTCCTCACAGTTTGTGTGGATACAGGAGGTCTTCTTTTCATACGGGCGTATATAAAGCTTTATAAAGTCCCCAATGGCTCAAAAGTTGGAATACTTCAGTCACACTTTTGAAAATAATAGTTTAGAGAATAACATTTAGCCATACTTGTCCAGGAGTCGTGGAACCTGGTGTTTGTTATCTTTTATTCTACTTAAGACAAGAATGCATTTTACGCAAGATTCTTCATCACAGACGTAATTAAAAGCAAATTGTCTCTTTTGCGTAATTTTCTTGAGTTAAATTAATTCACGGTTGAGGCCTAAATATCAGCCAATGATATTTCAAATGTTGCAGCTTTCTAAAGAAATACTATCCAGACATTGTACTTAAAGCCATTTAGTGAGTTTATTTTTTTAACTTGTGTGTAGGAAGGTCGCTGGCAGGACTGTGTCACTTTTTCCAACTTCCTCAGATCTTCTGGGGGGACCGCTGCTGATTGCAATCCAAGCCGTCAGACTTCAGGTTTTTGTTTGTCTGGTTCCTGGGTTTTCAATCCTGCAGGAAAGTTCTGGGTCTCCAGATTTACCCTTGACCATGACTATGCAGTCACTTTGACCTTGACATCAGAGCAGATTGTGAATAATAAATAGGGGGCTGGACAGCGATCCCGGCGGTTTGTTTGTGGGCAAACAAGGTGTTATTTCCCTGTCTAGACAGCCGGACTTAATGGCATGCCATAAATACGTAAAAAACGGGAAGTGTAGCGATATCCTCTGACCTGCGTTTCTGACCATCTCTCTAAACTTTGCATTAACATTTGGGCTCTATTCTTTTTTTGTGTTTGTTTTGCAGAAGTCCTTTAAATGCAGTAGTTCTGGGCGATGCCCCCTGGAAGCACCAATGGTCTCATGCACTCATCATCATGAGGCTGCGTTATTGACCACGAAGGACAGGTAGGACTTTTTGACGTCTCACACCAACACCATAATCCGCAGCAAGCAGCCATACTGTCTACACAGCGAGAGGAAATAATAACACGACGTCGCCCACAATATAGCGATTAAAGGTAGGGCCGTTTTCTTCCTACTGTGGCAGCAGGCCTTTGCTTTATGACTTTTTCTTATATATTAGGCTGAAGACTAAACATTCAGCAATGAAAGGTAACTTGAAATATGATGAATGATATGCAGTGACGGGCGAGTTTGTACTTCATGTATTTGAGATATTATTTTCCTCTGTGTGAAAGGAGTGAGACAATGTTAAACTTTAAAAAACAGGGCTACTTTAAATATTTATATTTTAACTATTGATATTTTAAACATTCTCACAGACACTTTAATGTTTAATTTATGCAGCAGCATATTAATTGAGCTAAAATTCGTCACATAGCAGATATAATCCTATCCAAAATAATTTGTTGATGTGCAGATAATTTAAACGTTGGTACATTTAATTTATTTAATTTACAAAAATATTTGATTTTAAGAAAGAATAAAAAGAATACATTCAAGTGGAGGAATATGGAATTATACAAGTGCGCAAATTCACATAGTTCTTACGTACAAATGTGAAAGAGAATCTGAAAGTATATTCCATATCCCGACCAGTGCAATAGACACAGCTTCCTGAAAGTTAATTTTTTACTTACTCAAGTTGTCACCTACAGTAATCAAACAGGCGCCCGAGATTAACATTGACTCTGCCGAAAGAAAAGGCGATGCAGAATAAACTCAGAAAGTCACACAGCAAATTTTCAAACAAACATATACATTTAAAAAAAAAAAGGCTAAACTTGAAGCTTTTCCACTTTTCCTCCTGGTCAGCTTCGGGTTTATACCTCTAGATCCTACAACGACGACAAAGTTGTGTTTGCTTTATGTTGTGTGTGTGTTTGGAGGGCGTGAAAGCTGCAGGCCGCTGTTATCCAGAGCCATCAGACAGGGGGCTGATAACCTCTGGTGGTGACCAGGGGAAAATATCAGGAAGTGCTGCAACTGCCTGCATTTTGGGCAGAGCTTTTCACTTCAGCTCATTTGTGTTCTCACGGTCATGACTGTACCTCAGGGCTCACTCCTCCTCCAGAGCTTTATCATATTTATGAAATATGAAGTTGTGCGTCATTATAATTATACTGCAAAAAAAGTTTGAAAAAGTGTAAAAGATGAGGGCCTGATTTCAGTGGACGGTACAGCAGATACAGATGTCACACCTAAAGCCACATCTGCCCTGTATTCTTTTTCGTGTGTTTTGTTATAGCATTCCTGTTTACTTTCATTTTTACATTATAACAAAAGGGGTATTTTGATTTAATGCTGCTGTTTGAATTTATTAGAAACATCTGAATAATGACGCATCGGAACAGGCAAAGACCACAGAGTCAAAACGAGTTTCCATGCCAAGTTGTTTTTATTTGTTCAAATATTTATTGTGTTCTTTTTTTTCATTGACATTTATTTATATATATTTGGCTATACGAAGATTTTCAACACATTTAAAAACAGGGTTATTAGATAAGTCGCACTGTTATAACGTGCACGTTACAGTGTTTTAGGAATGGATTCAAACTGACTGACGACGTGTGTCAGGTGTGGTGGTTGGGAAATGTCATGATTTGTTGATCATGAATAATACAGCCATACACAGTGCATGAACACTTTACATTTACATTTCTTGATCTCTCTCACACACAGACACACACACTCTCTCTCTCTCACACACACACACACACACACACACACACACACAAAAGTTGTTAACTCCATAATTTAAAATAAAATAAATACTGAAAAGTTAAAATTAATATTTTCAAATTTGAGCAAATGCGTTGCCGCCCCTTATCCAATCACAACTTATTACATCATAACTTTATCCAAAGTGACGGTCAAGTTCAAATCTTAGTCTCCATGACGCAAAGGCTTTTCTTAAGGCCTATATGCCAGTTTGCGATGTTTTATTTGCATATTTATACACAGCTTACTCAGATTGACTGACTATAAATGTATATTATACTTTTTATGTATACATACAATTGTTAAAATATAATTATTTCCAGATAGATGTCGATTATCCTTGATCATTTGAAGTAAAGAATTAATTTTTCATCTCCTGGTGTTATTCGCGACGCACAGCCGCATTAAATATCATGTGTTGTTGTAAACAGAGATCAGCCAAACGTTGCACCTAAGCGTTGCCACTTCTGTGGGTTCTTTAGGTTTCCCTTGGTGGTTTGTTTTCCATGAAGGAAGCTTTAAGAGGGGCTGCACAGGGCTATAACTGTGGCAACCTGCCTGCAGAGAATCAAAGAGAGAAAAGGGAAGAAAAGAAAAGCCCTTTGTTTAGGCTATTACCCTGTCTGGACAGGACCAGTGGATTCCAGGAGGGTAATTTCAATATCGAGCAGACAGTGTACTAGACAGTGACCTTGACAGTGCTGTAGGCTCGCTTCACAAAGTTTCTTTTTTAACTGCAGATTTTCATTTCCTTTTTTTTCTTGTTGATAAATGAGAGCACAAGGCCTGTAGCTTACGGTCAGATATGACATCATCGCCGGGCAAACGATGCACTGAACAGACGAGCGGTTGTTTGAATGTGAAATGCGGATCTGTGTGCGAGCAGTGGGATCGGAGGCGTGGAGAGACGAGGCAAGGAGGCGCAACACATGGCCTCTTTCCCCCCTCGAGGTAAAGAAGCCTGCACGGTACTCACCCGCGTACACGGTAACTGTTAGAATAACACGAGAAGCCGTGAGGTGTTAACAAAGACACCCCTGCTCTCCTCATCACACCGGGGGCACATGATATTACGCTGCACCGGGCTGACGCAGCGTTGCATTGCTGGGGCTGACTAACGAGATGTGAGAATGTGCAGTGAAAGGAGTAGCAGAGGGTCCAGGGAACATGATGAGGCTGCAACGGATCCCTGAGAGCTTCTCCAGTTTACACATTTGATACCTTTTCTTTCTATTTAAGGCGAGAGCGAGGCCTGCTGCCTTTGGGTTAGATAGGATATACGGCCACGAGTGACGGACGCAGCGATCCAATATCGTCTGACTTGCAAACTGTTCTCAAACCAATGTTTAAATGAATGCTTATGTTCTCACATAACACTTCATCGGCAGTTTTGTGGCACACAACTAACACCATTCAGCCCGCACGTAACAAGCAGCACTAACCCTGTATCCCCAGCTCCTGATCCTAGTTGTCACTTCATGAAATCAGTCTTTTTTTTATTCTCTTCTATATATTCTTCTATATCAGCTGTTTTGTTTTCAGGGGAGGATTTTAAATCAGAGAGGCAGCTCAGAATATATCCACATTATTTTATAAGGCCTGGGCTGCCTTCACTTTAAGCTGCTACAGCCTGAGAGACTATGTTTATCATATTTAATTTATATAAATTTCACCTTCATTCCTTTATTTAAACTGAGTATTTGAGTTCAATATCAAGTTCAACGTGACTCTGTCTGAACTTGAGTAGATTGACGGCGACGTCCGTGCACGTGTCCCTGGGTGTATATATTTTTAAAAAAAAAAATCTTATTCAAATTCCGTGTCATTGCTGAGTCAAACAATTTGCCCTTGATGTACTTTTTTTTAAGAGCCATAATTTGAGACACAAGCAGCTCGCCTCTTCTGAGTTATGACAACTTTTTCACATCCATAAATTGATTTTTGTCTCCCTTATATGTAGCCCGGAGTGGATGGCGGTAAATTATGAAATTTTATAAAGGGGAAAGTGGGATTTGCAAAATTGTTGCTGCGCTGATTATACTGTAGAGCAGCTATAAACGTTTGGAAAGTCCTGCGAGATGTATTTTTTCAATTAGGGAGTATAGCTTGTGAACCCGGGAGAGGAATGCAAAAAGTATAGGTCAGTCATAAGACTATGAGGATGATGGTTTGCCAGTTTGATGAGCACAGACCACATTAGAAATTCTTGCGCCAGCTGTTGGCAGAGTGCCCGAGTCGTCTGCATATTATGATATTAAGTTTTTCACTGTGGTGGAGTCTTTGAAAACTTTTATTTTCCTTTCTTTTTCTTGTTTTTAAGCAAGGCCTCTATTTGCGAGAAAGATGGCTGCAGTGTGACATATCATATATTTGCTCAGGGTCTTCAGAAGCGCATCTACAAATCAACTAATTAGTGTGATATAAAGCAGAGAGACTCTCGGCTGGATGAATCAGTTAAGTGCCCTCTGATATCTTGTAAAATCCATATAAAAGAATTGCGAGAGGTATAACAATCCCACCAGAGTTTGGCTACGAACGTTTATTGGAGGTATCTGTTAAAGTTGCTCATGTGAGGTGTACTCGAGAATATTAGGTGAAATATACCCTCTTAAAGTAACCTTGTAGAGTATCCGTCCTCTTTTACAGAGCCAGTGGCTTCAACCTGCTGACCCCGTTACTGTAAATATGAGGAGAGTGCGGCAATGAGCATCAGTCTTTTCTTAAAACAAGCTTGTAAAATTGGGACATCACAGCTTTATGTGACGTGGGATTCAACCATAATTTGCTGGAAAACAAGTTGTCATTTGCGGCCCCCAATCCTTCGAGAATAAAATAGTTTTCATAAGAAATGGTATTTAAAAAACTTTTGCCAGCTTATAAAGATATTAAACGAGACCATGGACAGTTCCAGGAGAGGGAAAGGAGAAGCAGCCTGGGCTCCTGCACGAAAAACACAAGATTCTCCATTTTTAATAAAAAGGTTTATAGTATTTTTAAAAAGCATATAAACCTCTGTAATACAGAAGTTAATGTTTTGTTTTGTTTTGTCAGAGAGGGACCGAGTGGGTGGTACCATGTGTAACAGAAGTTAGCCTGAGCACGTGGTTTGAGGTTGACCAATCAGGCGCCCCTCCAGGTTTAACTATGTTAAATGTCAGATTGCAATAAACTAGAAGCTGTTGGTCGGGCCCGCGGAAATGGGCGAGCATAATCTCCTTAATCCAGGGTTTGTGGGACCTTTGGTTAACATCCACACTGGAGACACCTTTTACTTTCCGAATTTTAGAGCCTCAGGGGGACAACTGGCGGGGCTACCGTCTCTCTCCTACCCGAGAAGGGACAATGTTTGCTCCCTCCCGTGGAATCCTTCGGAGCCGTGCAATGGATACTCTCAATCCTACTTTAGCAGCCCCGTGTCTATTAACCCTTCTTTCAATCGGTCGTGTGAAATCAGCAGACCAGAAGAGGGTAAATGTTATTATAACAACGGCAGCGGGAGCAGGGAGACCTGCTCAGGTGGCAGCAGCCTCAAACGAGAGGACAGGGCGAGAGACACATCATCCCTAACATCCGAGCACGGGATGCACAGTGGGATAGGCAACACTGCCGCGTTCTCCAAATACGATTACGGGACCGAGCAGCTAACGCAAGATCCGCCATCCTGTCAGTCAATGGAGTCCGACTCCAGCTCCTCTCTGCTCAACGAGGGCAGCAAGCCTTCATCCAGCGACACACAGACCCTGGTGTCACCGGGAAGCCATTCAAGCAACATAGCCGCAGGCGGAGGTTGGTGCTGTTGTTTATTTTTGTTAAATCACAGTGATATTTCGAGCGCATGTGTATGTTATTAATAAGAAAGCTGCAGCTAGGTTACACTCACGGTATTAGAGCATCATTAGGGCTGGTTGTGTTGATGCACAGCTTGCAGCCCATAGATTAGCCTGCAGGGTACTTGCGTGGTGTGCAAACGCCGCTAGGGGTTGCCCTAAAATACTCCACACGCCATGTGGCTGTGTACAGTTATCATAGTGCTTATATGCCATCTTTTGAATAAACAGTCAGTCGTGTCATTGCATGTACATAGCTTAGATAAGACTCCTGTGATCCAGGCGTATATAGATGGTGGACTTTAGTGAATGTATTGCTGCACTTTGTATCTACACAAATTAGGGCAGTGATTTAAAGGGGGGTGAGCCGCTTTGCTTGACTGCATCGAAGAGGGAGAGTTTTTCTTTTTAATGACTCGTAAACAGAATTAATATCTGTCGCTGTGTACTCAACAGTCATTTAATATGCTCCGAAACTCGCAAATAAGTAGGGGTATTTGCAAGCACGGCTTAATTATCGCGTTAATGCTACTTTAACAGCAACAATAAAACTTCCTGTGACACAAACCGCTGTATGCTCGTGGTGTTATTATAGCAGAGGCTGGAAAAATATAAAATTAACACTTGTGATTGAAATTTGTGCAAAAACAAAAAACCTGGACTGGCCCTGCTCATCCGGAAATTGTATTTGAGATCAGATATGTCTAAGGCATCCCAGGGGGGAGGGGGGGAGACCACAACAAATCCAATTTGGTTGTGTGTGGAGGAAATGACAGCTTGCATGGGCGTCCATTTGATGGATCCTAATATAAAGCAGAATGTTGGATCCTCTGCAAAACGCAGACCCCTTCTAGCTTAATGAAATACTTTCTGTATTTCCAGAGCTGCAGAAACATCCAGAGTGACTCAGTGTTGTGTCACTATAATGTCATTTGACTTGTAGAGATCATTTTCTGAATGCTCTCCAGTCTAATGATTAATTGAACGCCAAATTCACTTCACCCAAGTGCCCAAGCTTCCCTCTCCACAAGTGACGCCCCCGCAGGCTCCTCATAACCTTGGAGGTGACCGTGATTTTGCTACTGTGGTGACTAATCCGTAGTTTGCTCCCCCTCTGCATCCCCCCTCAACCCTGCCCTACCCCACCCTATCCCACCCGACCTTCCTCCTCCCACTCCTCCAGGTGCCCCGTGGTACCCGATGCACACTCGGACCAGAAAGAAGCGCAAGCCCTATTCCAAACTCCAGCTGGCCGAGCTCGAGGGTGAATTCATGCTGAATGAGTTCATCACCAGGCAGCGGCGGAGGGAGCTCTCCGACCGTCTGAACCTCAGCGACCAGCAAGTCAAGATCTGGTTCCAGAACCGCAGGATGAAGAAGAAGAGACTCATGCTGAGGGAGCAAGCTTTGGCCTACTTTTAGAGATGCGGCAGAAGGTGAATCGATAGGCAGTAAAAAGCCAAAACCTTCTACGCTCCCTTAGGTCTTCTTTCAATGCATGCACTCAATCTATCCATCTTTTCAATTGCAGGCAATTCCTACAACATTTTCTGATAGCCTATATATTTTTTCTCTTAAAGGTGCGGGCTACACACATGCCCAAAAACAAGCCACTAACTGTCATTCAAAGCTATTCTCAATGAGACTTTCCTCATGTTTGGTATAATCGCACAAAAGAAGCTGTGAGAACTGTGTAGGATACATCTCTTGGTTTTCCTTATCTGTCAAGAGATTAGTCCACGCCCAAATTGTAAACCATGCAAAATGTGTGTTGCTCAGATTTGGGAATATACACACAATGACAGCATTGTTGAGTTCCCTTTTTAGTCAGTGAAAATAATGAGGCGGCGGGACCACTTGGTAAAAAATCCGAATAGGCCTAAAAAATAATAGTGAAGTCAGAAAGCTAGAAGACTGGCTTTAGTCGCAACCGCGCAATAATATCTCTGATGGTTTATGAAGAACAATCTCGCTCCCATAGTTGTTTAAAACTTCCTCAGCCACCATGTATTGGTGTAAGAGGAGCTTCCTCCTTATCTCCTCTCCATAGTTCTCGTCACACGTTGTGGGCACGTTCACGGTCACGGGCAGGAAGTCTGGGAGTCTGCGTGAGGAGTGGGAGGACTAAAAAAACGCAACGTAATCCATATCCATATATTTATGAGGGGCACATTGAAACAGCAATTGCCATGACTTTGTTCATGTGCTAACAAGTTTCCAAAGGTGATTCCTCTGCTTCTATCGCCTCTCATCGTGTCTCCACAACAATCACAGAATCCTGCATGGGTTGCATTTCTTTATACGAGTGAGATCACCGTTGAATACGGTTTTGAGCTGCTATTAAAAGACCCACGTCCCGATTGTGAAAAAAAAGTATATTTTACAATAAACTCTCTATGGATATAAAGAAAATATTCACCAGTGTTAAGCATATTTTACACCCGCTCGGTTAAACAAGAGAACCACCCACCTCTGCAGCTGCGGGTGGGGAAATGCGTTTTTAGGCCTAAAAGAACATTTCTGAAACTTGGTGCTCACGAAGAAAATAAATATGTAGAAGATTTAAAACACTCAATTATAGGCCTGACCGTGTGCTCCCTTAATTCGGGACGAATGCAATTATCTGTCATGTATAATGAGTAAGCTATAGCAGTAAAAAGTATTTGCAGCATGTTATTGATGTGAAATAATTATAAGTGGTGTTCTGCGGGCCACTTTTTTATACCTTTTTCCCCCTGAACAAATCAAAAGCGAACAAAACCTTAAACATTTCTGACACAAACCTCTATAAAGAATGTATTATTATTAATATTATTATTGTTATTATCATTATTAATATTATAATGGTGGAAGGACGGAGGGCCTATTAGGCCTACTTAATGTACTTGCTCCTTGCAATGTCCTCAATGTCGTCCCTTCCCTTACCTTGTACTCGTGTATAACTTTGTAAAATCAAATTACACATGTTACTATTCGCCTCCTATTTTGGGATCCCTTATCGGTATGTAATGGTGCGTTATGTTATTGATCGTCTTGTACAACATTGCATTCCATAGCCTATTTGTGGTTGTATGGGTTGGAAAGTAGGCCTAAATATATCATACTGCCAAAAATGCATAGAAGAAGTGGTATGCAAGAACCTTTACCATACATGTCATTTAAAGAAACTCTGTTTGTAGTAGCTGTTTGTTAACGTTCCTTTATTTCGTCCCTCACTGCATTCCCTTCTTTGCGCTTGTAAGGATTGCTACATTGTCTTGTAAAAGTAATAATGATATGAATGTATATGCGTAAGGTCTTCAATAAACAGAATATTGAAATGTTTATGTTACCTCCGTCTGTCACTGGGTCGCTTCACCGGGTGTCCCGCTTTTAAAAATCAGGTTTTCTAAGGGCTGACTGGTGGGATTATTTTATTGGACGTGACCTGTAGGCTAACACAGTTTAAAAAATACACGTGTCCACCGCAGTGAAATCAAGATCACAACATTAATGGGACATTTGGTCGCATTTGAGAGGGTGTTTTGTTGGCACATAATTCCACATGCTGTGAACTATAAGCAATAGGAGCCCACACAGGTTGGTCTTGTTCCATTATGGCCGTTCTGATATAAAGGTAGACTAAAGGTGTTCTAGCTCTCCATGCAAAATGGCGGCCAGATACATATCCTAAACCCCACCTTACACTGGATATCATTCCTGTTTTGGAGTAATCTGAGACACTATATATAGCAGCCATAGACAAGAGTTTTTTTTATTTGTTTTACATTTTTTGTGGTTTTCCTTGAAGTTCGACCTAATCAGTGTCACTGGTATGCTACAAGCCTATAACATCCCAGCTAAACACGCAATAGCTCTGTAAAGCAGTAATAGGGTTACACCCCAGTGCTCCATATAGTCAAACCTCCTGGACTGCTGTTCATCCCCTTTCTCTGGTTTGCATTATGGGATTGGGGTTTATGAATGCATACCATCATCAGAATATATTTCTTTTACTCAAATGGTATGCATCTTTATAAACCACACAGATGTGTGTACAATAAACACATCTAAAATACACAATGCTCTCCCTACTGGCAAAGACGTGTAAAGCAATGCAGGGCAGCGTGCTGTGTTTTTCTTTATCAGCTCACTAAACAACCATCAATGCGTCTTGTTCACAGCAGCTTCCAGACTCAGTTAGGTGAAGTGTGTTCACTGGAAACTGTGGTGCTGTCTCAATGTTGAGATCACATGTTGCCTTTTCAGTGAACTGTGCATGGCTTCTCCTGCAGTCGACCCAATGAAAGGCCTTCCTGAGTTAGTCTGTCCAGGATCTCAACATATTTACACACATGTATGATGACGTTTACTCAATTGTGCTCCTCACAGTCCTATCTCACTAACGACCAGTTATGATTCTGTATGAGATAATGAGTTTAATTATCATGGGACATTGATGTCTCTGGGTGTATGAAAACCTTGCTGCAGTACTCTTCTCTGTCTAATATAGAATGCTGTTTCTGCAGCCTATATTTGTGCCATTTTCTCCTACTGCAAAGACGCACCTGCCCCAGTTGGATTGGTTATATCTTGAACCATCATTCTGGTATATTCGTCAATATAATGCTCACGTAATTCTTGTTGTGTTGTATGCACAGTGTGCAGAATTAATATATAGAGCTAGAAGCTTCTATAAATGGTAAAAGGCCGTCTGGTTGCGTTGCTATTCGATCGAGTTACAATGCGCCAGTTTGCAGATATATAAACGGACGTGATTATATATTTTGGCTTTCAAAATAACCGCTGTGAATATTCTAAACAAACCAAGGCGTCAGCTAAATATTTGTTTCAGTCTCCAACATGCTTCTAGTCAGAGTGTGACTTGATATAAATGAATGAGACCCGCTGGTTTTATGTTTTCGGAAAAGAGCACTCCATGTACATTTACGCATTTGATTAAATTGAGATTTGGAGAAAGATTTCAACTGAATGAATGCGCATAATTTTGAACATGTATGTCAGTCATAGTAGCAACTGAGTCCTAGTTGTTGTCTGCGTATAATAATGCAAATGCATGCGTAATGTTGGGATATTTATCCATTTTACGCACGCACAGCACCAGTCATATGCCCGTGTGTTTCAATCAAATGAACACATTAGTTGTAAAGGCTCATGCGAAGTATATACCAAGTAACTTTATTAAGTATGTTCTGCCATATGTGATAATAACAAAGACTGTGAAATAATACTGGGGAGATCTTAAATTGTGTGTATTGAATTTGATCATCCAGAGGACATCATTCATAACTACTCCAATCTTTTTAGCCTATCAAACGCGCTGTTGACCATGAAAGGAGATAAACTAATGCCTTGTGTTTGTGTGTTGCCTTGTTAAAGGGCTTAGAGGAGAATAATATATGTAAAATATACAAAGACCGGATTGACTCTAAGGCACAATCTCAACTTTGCAACAAAAAAAATCTTTATGGTCTGATATGCTCCAAATATTTTTTAAATCTTTGTTTAAAAGGCTTCAGGATAAATTGTCCATACGCGCTGTTGAAATTTAAACAGCAGCGAGTGCAATAACTTAATTAGACTGAATTATTTATTTTTGCAGTTTTATTTGCGCTTGTAAAAATGCGCACAGCAATCATACGATGTGGAAAAGATAAAGCAGATATAACCCAGGATCACAACTAAATAGATTTGCTGTTTGCTGTTAACTTAAGAAAGTATAAAGTGACATTTAGAGCAGCGACAATACGATTTGTTCTTTCAAATGTGTTTTGATATGGGGAGATATTGAAGTAAACATCAGAACAACAGTGAGCAAATCGTGAATCCTGATAACCACCGTTACGCAATGATGCAAACAGTGTAGTTTGTGTTTGCAGACTAGTTTGATGGTTGCTGTGTAAAACGGTGTGATCGTTTGTTTGAATAACGTGACAGTCTGGTCTTTGGTCTGTGCCAAACGCATATGTGAGCATGTAGTTTTAACTTGAACTTCAAACCAGGCGTATCTGTTGATTTTGTGCGGGACCTCTCCGTGTAGTCTGTTTATTCGGGCATGTCTTTCCTTTCGACATTTTTTTCTGACAAATAATTGTGTGCATTCACGTCCAGAAAACTACAAAATATTTCACTGCGTCTTAACCCAACACCCCCCTGTCCTTCATTCAAAATGTAGAAAGTCATCACTGTACAGCAGCTCATGTTAGTTTGCACATCCTTTCATCGTATTCATTTAAATGTATTTGAATTTACTTTGCACGGGGCATTCGGGGAGAATTAAGAAAAACAATCTGCCATCACTGCAGACAACCTCTAGATATTTTGGATTGTAAACCGGGACGAAATCTCAGTTGGCTTTGCAGATCTTTTACAATAGGTCTTTCACTGCTCTTGAACACTTTTGACTTTGAGACTGGCTAAATCTGTTTATGGCGGCCTGTCTCCGCGTCCCAAAGGTCAGTGAGCTTCACAGTGCCCTTCGCAGAGAACTTGTGTGGCATGCGGTCTACGCCCCCGCCACCCCTCTGCCGTTTATGGTACGAAGCTGGCCAGAGAAATGGAAAGCCATGTTATTCCAACTGAAGTGCGCGTGGAGTGTGTGTGTGTGTGTGTGGACGTGCGTAAATTTTGAAGGACTGTTGATGTGATATAGAAACAGAGCATAGGTGGGATTCTCGACGTGAAAGCTCCATATCGCTTCAGTCCTCTAACAGTTGATATATATTGATTTTGATATGATTTGAAATGAGTTCTGTAGGAGCTGGTTTTTTTTCCTGATATGTGCCTTACTGTCAATTTGTTTTTAGATAGCATCGCATGTCCAGCGACCCTTATTACGGATTGTGGAGGTTTCATTGCTGCCGGATTCGTATTAGACCACTTGTCCCTGATGGACAAAGTCCCCAGAATTCCAATTCAGATTGATGATACGATCGCAAATCAGTAGCCTGGGTAGTTGTTATTTTGCTGTCACTGTTTATCCAATTATAGCATTACTGTTATTTCTTATTTCGTGTGAAATCTTGCGCAGTTAAAAGAGACAGTACGATATTTGTCACTGACCGAAATGGTATTCTCCTCAGTCATATTTGTTTTGTTATTTAACCTCCGTTTTCAGTCACAATTTGCTCCATCTTTTCTCTCTTACCTTCTCTATAGTATTTTTCTGAAATGTTGAGTATTTTGGAGGTGGACTGTCCAGGCCGATTTTGGGCCCTAACGCACTCACTGAAGGTCAAGTATGCAGAACAGAGCTGCACATCCGACGGTGTCTGCTTAAAGCTCTTGCCATTTTAGATGGAAAATTCTGTCACCTGTTCAAGTTTGTCCAGTATTGGTTCGGTGCACACGCAGTCCAATCCGCTTTTCTAATATGAATATCGATATCTGATGTGCAGCTTCTCTGTGTTTAAAGGTCTGGGCTCTGAGGAAAAAGCGCTTGGAAAATGTGCAGCTCAGACGGCAAAGCAAACATGAGCACTAAGTGTTTGAGCAGGCATTTCAAAGATATCTGAGTCTGTAGCGTAAAGCTCATAGCGTCTATTTTTGGTGCACATACTGAGTCGCTTCCGTGCAAGGCCAGCGCAAACTAAAATAATGCTTTTGACCCCCGGTGCGAAAGGAAACAAGTGTTGCGCGTTTCGCCCCAATGGACATACATGTTCAAAATATTTGCTGATTTCGCACTGATTCCAGTTATTATGATGAATCAATTCCGTGACAATTTGTGCACTTAAGATTCACTCCATTTGTCAACCGATTGTGCTCCTGCATGCAGCATACCTAACACTTTATCCAGAATCACTCTGGTGACAGCAGACAAGATTTAACCAAATAATTAAAGAAGAAGCTTCAAGTGAAACGCCTGCCTCAGACGTTGTCAACACGAAGGTTATGTCACTACATGATCACTGTCAGATTTTATCACGAAGGAATTTTTGTTACCAAACTAAATAAATTATTTGTAAACCATTACACTTAAAAACAACCCGCTGCGTAATGCTTCGCAAGTCGTGCTTAATTTTCTGCTGTCTTGTGAGTAATTTCAGAAACCACAACTATTTATCTATGATGATCAATGCTGAATTGTGTTAGAACCCTGGGAACATTATCACCGCTTATTTCCAAATGTGATTCATATTAAGTGTGTTGTTCTTAGAGGTCTGCAGGCTGCGCCTAAAATTCTATTTTTAAATATATCGGCATGTGGAGGGCCACATAGCCACAACACTCCCTCCACATAAATGCTCCATTCATTTTTTTACTTTAATCAAATTTGAGCAAGATATCCAGCTCGAGCTTAATTATAGTTCATCTAGAAATTA